GCCCCAAAGCTAGCTGTGCGGAGACCTTGGTCTTACCCACCTGCCGGGCTGCGATGAGGCTTTCCCACCGCTGTCCTCGCTCCCCAACGTGCTCCCCAGGGCCTTGCCCAGCTAACCCTGAGGTGGAGGGCGGGGCTCGTGGTAGTGGGGGAGCAGACACTAGAGTTCCCGAGGGAGGCGGAGGAAAGGGCGTTTCTGGGTTTGCCCCCCTCGGGTCAGTTTGCCTAGGATGTTAGGTTTAAAACCAGTGGAAAGGGAGCGTAGGGAGCTGCAGTCCCTGAAGAAAGCACGTAAGAAGAAGACTGTCCTCTGAGCTTGGAGTTCTCTGAGCTGAGGGCGGGGTCTGCTAAGAAGAGTGGGCGCTGCTGCATCAGCGAAGCCCAGGTGCTGCCAAACTGTATTGTTTGCCAAGTTTCCAAGCAATGCTGCGTGTTCCCCCCGAGGCTGCACTGGGGCCCAGGCGCAGGGGAGGAGGGCCGCTGTGCCGATGCTTTAAGGAGGACATTAATATGTAATTGAAAGGATGACCCTAATGTCTGGCCTCTCTAAATTTCCTTAGGAATTTTCACCATTAGTCTTTGAGAGACCAATCGGGAGCCGAAAACCAGGATTATTAGGGGAAAAAGACCTGCCAGGCAGTCTCGCAAGGGGAGAACAGCAAGCCGTGCAGAGGTGGGCACTCCTTTTGGGGGGCGGAATGGGAAGGAATGGGGGTTTCGTGTACTCGGCGCGCTGATTGGTGGCTTAATGTATGGTCCATAGAGGAACAAGGGCTTAGGGTATTTGGCAGGTGTTGATTGGTGATTCAATGTATAGTCCATATAAAGTACATGGTTAGTCACTCAGGTATTTCCGGGCTGCAGGTATGGTTAGTCACTCAGATATTTCCGGGCTGCAGGTTACGTCATACTCTGCCCACCAGTTGGGGGGAAGGGAGGATCTATCAGTCTTTAAAAATTATATATATATTTTTTACTGGAGGCCCAGTGCATGACATTTGTGCACTGGAGGGGAGGTCCCTCAGCCTGGCCTGCGCCCTTTCGCAGTCCAGGACCCTTCAGGGGATGTCCTTAGCGCTGCTGCAGAGGCTGGAGAGGCTCCTGCCACCGCCGGGGCTTCTGGCTGAGTGGCATTACCCCTGTGGGAGCGCACTGACCACCTGGGGGCAGCTCCTGCTTTGAACGTCTGCCCCCTAGTGGTCAGTGTGCATCATAGCAACCGGTTGTTCCGCTGTTTGGTCTATTTGCATATTAGCCTTTTATTATATAGGATTGATTTCAGAAAGAGAGGGAGAGAGGGATAGAAACATCAATGATGAGAGAGAATCATTGATCGGCTGCCTCCTACACACCCCATACTAGGGATGAAGCCTGCAACCTGGGCATGTGCCTGATTGGGAATCGAACCATGACCTTTTGGTTCATAGGTCAGTGCTCAACCACTGAGGCACACCAGCCAGCCTCACTGTTAGTCTTATCATTAGATTACAAACATCTTCCTTTAAAATGCTCATGTTACCTGATAAATACAAAAATGAATATCATGGCATACTTCATTTATCAGGTTAGAATCTCAGGATTTTTAGAGCTGGAGGGAAATCTTAGCTATCTGCTAACCTATTCATTCCTAATCTTTTCATTGCCTTGTTCCTCATGTTTTGAAATACCTTTGTCTAACAAACAGGATTTAGAAAACAATAATTCATTTCCCCTTCTTATCAAGACATATATGGCTGCCAACTAGAATTCTGCGCGCGCGCGCCCACACACACACACACACACACACACACACAGGATACTCTGGTAATCAGGAAATAGCCAGTGTTACTTCCAGAATCGCGGACGCGCGCACACACACACACACACACACACACACACACACACGATACTTTAGTCATGGAGAGATGGTGTGGAGCCATACCACCTTTGGATGTGTGGTTTCTGTTAGCCTCTCTTACTGAGAAGAGCACTTGGGTGCTGTATCTGAGGGCTCAGGGGTTCAAGGATCCCCAACTGGGAAACAGCTAGATCAGCCCCCTTTTTTATGAGGAAACAGGCCCACGGAAGCTAAGTAATGGAGCTAAAACCCGAACACTGGTAAATGCCTGTGAGTCTCATTTTGGGCTTATACTTTTGTTAACATTCTTTAGCAGAAAACAGGGTCTTGAGGAACTTTTTAAGAAAAATTTGGCTTTTTTAAAATATATATATAAGGCAGATACCATTGGATATTTGTATCTTTATCTCCACAGGACGTAGCACAGAATCTGACATCTGGAAGATGCTTATTACATTCCCATTGGGTGAGAGACTTGCAGGGAGTGGGCTGAGGGTAGAAGCTTGTTGCAGGTTTAGGGAACAGAATCCTAGGTGAGCGACTGCCTTGGAAGCGCTGGGCAACTAGTGGGTGTTAGGGTCGCCGAGGGAAGAATGCAGGAGGCCGAAAGGGGTAAAGAATTATGAATGTATTAGGTGATCTGGAAAACCAGATAGGCTGAGCCCCAAATTGGCACCAGCACCCAGGGATGGGGAGTCAGAGGTTTTAAAGGACCCTAGGGGGACTTTTTCTGGGCGGAGAATTCTCTGGGCGGCTCCGGATTCTGGGAAAGCCCAGAGGGGAGAGATAATGGTCTCAGCAAGTGGAATTTGGTCTAAGCGGAAGGGAATGTCCAAAGGGAATGTCCGCTGTGAAGTGGACTAAAGGTCAGTTCCCAGGGGAGGGGTATGGATTCAATTATTTGATCAAACCTAACAGTGGGCAGCCCAGGGGGAATGAGTACCTGCAGGGAGGGAACAAGTAAAAGGGTGGGGAGCCCAGCCATAGATGCCATCCTCAATGTCGTCCACT